CATGGTTTCTGTCGGAGAGTTCACTGCGACGAAAGTGCAGCTGAGAAGGAGCACACTTTTCTTATACACACTCTATGCTAATGTCACTGTGCTGTAACCTGGCTGTGATTGGCTGATCTGACGCTCAGTGAAACAACAGAGACAAAAGTGCGGGAGATCTCAATGATCCTTAAAGTTCTCTTTATATATACATAAATACAAATTTTCTGTCCATCAAAAGACTAGAGAAAGATATACWTATAAATTAGATAAAATTTGTCACAAAGGACAATTTACATTTACTAGAGTTCATCGCTTCTCTAACTTTGAGGTTTGCAGTGTTTTTAAAGATTCAGTGTTTTATGAATCAATGAATCCATTTCTGCTCAAACACAACAAACTTGTGTAAAGCATATTTATAACTGGTTTAAAGCTCCGTCTACATTTAACCTTTCTGGGGCCAGTTGTTCAAAAAATGTAATCTGGGTCAAATTTATCCAGATTTGGAAATTTCATTCTYACCAYYCAGAATCTTACTTTWATGCCAGTTTTTCMAAGCAACATTAGACTGGATCACCCTGATCCAGATCCCCTGTTTTCAAGATGACCAAATCTGGAWRCCCAGTGCTCTAAATGAGACAACATCACAATGTTAGTAAGTAAAAACCAACAGGCAGAAGAGCCAGCATGGGGTCACTTTAAATGTTTATCATTTTGAGACAAAAATAACAAACATCCACTTTCTTTCATCATTTCTGACCCCTCATCTGAGCCACAACAAATAAAAAAAACCAAATATACATTAACAAATATATTGTGGATATTTTAAAAACGTCCTATTTTTTTGAAAAGGGTAAATATCCAATACTCATCTAAATAAAGTCTGTTTAGCGATCTTGTTCATCTGAGGAGAGAGCAGCATTCCCAAGCCCTGCTTTWAGGATGTGGATCTGCTGCAGTTTACATGTTTTGGTGTAAAACAATTTTGTAAAATGAGGAAACCCCCATCTCAAAATTACCATTGAGCCCACAGGATTATAGTTGTGGTGCAGACCACTAGAGTGTACCATTTCATCAAGATGATAATCCAAACCAGAATAGTGATGTGCAGATTGATACTGAAATATCGATACCACCAATACCAAAACTTTACTCTCTAGAATCGATACGAAAATCAAAATGTCGATACTTTGATACTTCAGTTATTTCACATGATGTATATGATTAAGAGAAAAAAGTGGAAAATAACTAAATTATTTTAATCTTGTCTAAATCATATGTGTTTTTTTGTTTTGTTTTGTTTTGTTTTTTGGGGGGGACTACTTTTTCTTCAGCACAGTGGCCTGCGCTCAGTCTGTAGATGAATAGCAGGCCATTTTAACAAAATCTGCTTTCTCTGACTTTAAAATCTAGTTGAGGAGTTCCCAAACTTTCATGCCATGGCCCGAAAAACTGCATTAGCTCTGGCCAGGGACTTTCTTGCAAACCCACAAACAGTTGAATATACAAAGTAACTCTCAAAATGTTTTTTTTTTTTCCCAATTCAAAAATTACATTTTAGAAGAATTTTACATTGTGCGCAACAAATATAAGGTTAGGGTTAGAAAGACTAAAAATAAATGACTCTCATGTATTATTTATTAATAGGTTGTCTGAAATATGCTACTTTTTAAGATTTTAAACACTTTGTGTCAACACCAAGTTTCAGTATCGCCGATACCAGCCACATTTTACTCATGAGAAAAAAATATATATAAATTTTAAAAAAAGTTGGCTGTATCAAACATCACTAAAACAGAAAGATGTTTTTGCTTCAAAATGTGTTTATAAATTAGTCGTGCTGCATTGGGGGAAAAAAAAGTTCAATACAGCTGTTCATAACACCCGAAATCTTTTAGAAATATTTTCATTGTACCTTTATACAGGAAATCAGCTCTTAGTGAAGGTGTGCGGCCCTGAAAAGGGCCTTTTGTTTAATGAAGCAGGTTACAGTTTATCCTCTGAAGCCGTACAGAGTACTATGGAAAGCCCTTGCTGACAGAATCACGTGATCATTACGCGTCCATTTGACACGTAAACAACACGTAAACAACGCGTCATTTACGCGTTAACAATGCGTCAATCACGCGTCAAATACACGTCGAAGTTTAACACGTTTTTGACGCGTCAACGTGTTATCAACGTGTCAACGTGTAAACTTCGCGTTGTTTGCGCGTAGTTTATGCCTTTTGGTTAAGGCGTAAAAAGCATGCATTTATGTCCTTTTGGGTAACTTCACTTCCTTGACGGTTTAGGTCACGTCTCTTCTCATTGGCTGTCAGGTCCAGGGCTAAACCACTTCACTGAACCACTTCAGCAAAAGAGAGGGGTGATTCCCAGGTCCAGGGCGAAACCACCTTAACAAGAAGATGTAATGAGATGGAGAACCTACATTTCTGCTTATATTTTAATTTAAAAAGCCTGATGTTTCTTTTACTTTTTAACAAAGTTATTAATAAACCTAAGAACTGTTTAATAAACCTATTTCTGTTTCCTATTTCTGCCAAAATTGAGAAATCCAATTGCCAACGGCTTATATGTAAAGTACTAATAATGTTATAAAGATAATTGTTTTCATTGTCAAAGACTGTTCAAAATTGTTTTATTTTAATGTTAAAAATGTTATTTTAATGTTAAAAATGTAACGTCACGTCACGTAGTTATTACAGTTATATCTTCCCTAATTTGTAATGACAGGGCATTCTGTCAACATCAAGGTTATTATAGTTTTGGGGTTTTAATTTATGGTTTAGTTTTATTTCGCTTTGACTTTCTTTTAATTAGGTTAGTTTTAATTAGTTTTTACAGTGGATTTGCTAGTTTTTATTAGTTATTATTGCATTTTTAATGCTTAGTTTTAGTTTAGTTTTGTTTAGTACTTTCTCTGAGTTTCAATCAAATCTGGGTTCTGGTTGATAGGATATGTTGCTAACAGACACAGGCACATGATGTAGCAACAGGCAACAATGACTTTTTTATATAAATTAAATTAACTGGAGTGGTAAATAAATATGGTAAACTTGTCATGTTTTCTTTTTACAGCGAAGCTGATAAATACAGAATGAGTCACTAGATGGTGCTGCTTTAATTTAACCTGCAGGTTTCTGAACATATTTTATACCACTCCTTGTTCTGGACTGAAGCTTTCTTGCCTTTAAGTGTCAATACACAGAGTTTTTGGTTCATTAATAAATAAGGAAATTATCTTAAAAAAACGTCTGTGTACCACTTGATGTACAATTAAAATGTCCTCAAACATKAGAGGATCATAAAGAAAGTCCAGTCCTGGTTTGGGGAACATAATTTGTTGCTTTGGAGGAAACCAGCAGGGGTGCCCAACTCACCACCCCCCACCCCAAACCGCCAAAAAAGGTTTGTGTGAGCAGCTGCTGCTCAGAGCCCCAGCTAAGAATAACCTGAACTTTCTTCGGGGGGTGGGGGGGAAAGTTATCCTGAAGCTATCTGCTCTGTGAGCTGACCTATCCCCACATGAGGCACCAGTAACTCTGGGTGGGACCCTCAGCCCTGTTCCCCCCTCGCTCTGCCCAGCCCCTGTGCTTAGCTCGGCCTTTTCCTCCCCTGCTTCGCTGTTCCCCAGACCCCACACCCAAACGCTGCCCTTCTGGCAGCTCCAAATTTCACTTGTGAGCTTTAATTTACTTTTTATTTGTTTGATTATCTTTTTTTTAATTCTCTCCTTTTTATTACATTGGACAACACCAATAAGAAAAGAAGACTTTGATCAACAAGTGGAAATGGATTAATTGACTTATTGAGACATTTGTTTTAAATAACTGAGTTGATGTTGATTGGACGATCCCCAACCAGTTCTACATGAGGAGGTTTTACCTGTAGCTCAGAGGATCCTACCTGAAACAGGCTCCATGGCTGAAGGTAGGACTGTTCTTTCAGTCACATTAGTTGTTTACTCAAAAAAAAACCTCAGTATTAATGATGAGTAAAATAAATCAAAATAATGTTTTGATGAGCAATGCCCTTCAKGAAGTAAGTGTTGAAAACTGGTTGCTATAAATATAAGAGATCATATTGCAGGAGCGTCAGGTCTCCTGTGACAGACGTGACTGCTGCTGCTTGTTTGTTTATTTTAAACAAAGTCCTTATAAAGAATAATCCAAATATCAACCTGGGATCAAGTTTAAAAGTTTTTAATRAGTTATGAAATCTAGAAATGTCATATTAACTCAAAATCTTAGTGTTGTTTTTAGCTTAATCTTTAAATGAAGCTCAAACTGAAGCTGTTAGAATGTAAAGGAACATTTCGTCTATTTAAGAGTAGCTTTTGGAGTGTTTTTCTTTGTCTCAACTTTACTCATGTCTTTTTCTGTATTTTCATAAACAGCTGTGTACTGTATATAGTCTGTTAATTCTTTAACGCCTTGACAGYGGATATAAAGTGTGCAACATAATATCATGTGCTATTAACTGATGATGAGGATGTTGTTTAAATATAACAAGCGCTTTTTCCATATTGAACAAGAAGTGAAATGTATGATCATTTCACTGGAAACACTGGAATATTAAATGATTTTTGGCTYTTAGATGTTACAGAAAGAAAATACATAAACAGGTTGTTGATCCAAACTATTAAGGGAAGAAAAGAGGTTAAAACAACTAAATGGCTGCACTTTAAAACGCGTTAATTCATTCCAGTTAAATACATTTTATAGAAAGAAAGAAAAAAAGAACTGCTATTTTTTACTGCAAGTTTTGGGGAAAAACAAACCTGTAAAATCTTGCTATAGTCTTAAAAAATCTATTTTGTTTGTTTGGTTAATTTAAATAATACAGTGCCATTGATAGACACTGACTCAGTATGTTGTTTTCCAGAGTTGTGGAAACAAGTTTAGGAGCAAAACAGCTGAGTAAGGTGTTGTATTTATTTCCCAAAATGCAGTTTTTTATTGARTTTGTTGGTTATGTTATAAATCCTAAAAAATAGATCGTTAAATGAACCAGCCGGATGATTTATATGGCAAGCAGTTTGTGTATTTATTCAACGTCCTTGTTATCAAGCAGTATTTTAGCACCACTACATTGGTCACATTGATTCATTTTGTTCATTTTGCAACATTTTGGTGCAAAAGTTCACAAAAAAAACACTTTTGCTCCTAACATTTGGTTGGAGACTAGTGACGCTTCGGCCCAACTAGTTGGAGCATAAGTCTTACTAGTCAGCTCTGTTGTGGAACTATACTCCACAAGTCGCACTAGTGAATCATTGGACTGCACTAGTGGACAACTGTGTCAAACAAGTTAACTAGTAAGAATAAAAAAACATGCATGTAACTAGTCAACATTCCTACTTAAAATATTGACTACATGACACATTTTGGTCCTTGCTAGTAGGCCTAAAAATGTCAAATTGTCAACTAGTGTACCAAATTTTGAACTTACTAGTAAATATTTAGGCTCATTAGTTGACATTTTTTGTGCACTAGTAAGCAGAGGTTTAACTAATCAACTAATGGGAATTTAGGGCAATCCTGGATAACTAATAAGGCCAAATGTTGTTGTACTAGTCAACTGATCAATGTTTCTGATCGTAGTTAGCAAGACAACATTTTAGGCTAGTAAACTAGTCATCTAGTTGATGTTTTAGGGTACACTAGTTAACTAATGGGCCTAAAGACAAAAAATGTGTCAGCTAGTTAGCAGTGTCACTAACTATTATAGGTGTTTAGTAACAAAGAACATTTACTATGTTATAGTATAATGTTTTTGAAGATTTGTAATTTTACTGTTTTTAAATCCTGTTACTTTTATTTTGTTACATTTCAAATCTATAAATTATACTTTTACGGTACTTGTTTCTTTAAAACTGAGCACTTCAAGTTACAAATTTAAATATGACTGAACTCATCATGAACAGTTGTTTATGCACTCTAAAAAACGAAGGGTTTAGTTTACTTAACCAAGTTATGTCAAGTAGTTCCAGTAACGTAAAGCAGTTTACTCAACTTGCTTTAGTGGAACCAGTTTGCTGAAGTACTTTTTTATCAATGAAATTCATTGTTTTATCAAAGTCATTTAATGCTAAGGTATTTTTACTTTAATTTATTTATTTCAAGTACTTTATAGACCTCTGATAACTCTTGCAGTGTGGTTTCCAACTAGTGGGCCAAAAAATGCTTGATATTAGGAATATACTTCAAAATAAAATAAATAGAAAATAAATAAATAAGAACTTGCCATACTTGGATCTGGCATGCTGACATTCCTGTATATTAACAAGTAGTTCCTAAAGTTTTCAGCCTTTGACCCACAAAATACAGCAGTATAACTTGTGACCCCGACTCTTGTTGGGTGATAAACATTTGAATTAGGTCAAATAAATAAGGACATAATAACAATATTCATTATGCTAATTTAATCCATTTGTGTATATTAACCTCACTCTTTCTTAACAACTAAAGTGTTGGTTGGTTGGTTGGTTGGTTGGTTGGTTGGTTGGTTGGTTGGTTGGTTGGTTGGTTGGTTGGTTGGTTGGTTGGTTGGTTGGTTGGCTACCGTTCATTCAACCACAACTTTGGGAACCACTGACAGAGACAGAGGAGGGCAGCAGCACTGTTGCCATTTAGCAAGAAGGTCCTGGGTTCCATCCTGGTCCTGTGTGGAGTTTACATGTTCTCCTCATGTATGAGTGGGTTTTCTCTGGGTACACATAAAAATCTGTTTTTAAGCCTTTTTAAAGAAGCATTTTTGTTATTATCTTTGTAAATAGGTGCATTACTTCATGTGGTGTCTTGATAGACAGTGGTAGTCTTTATATTTGTCAGTGCCTCACTCCTCTGAAACATGTTGGAATTTAAACTGAAGGTGACAGTGCCCCCTGTTGGACAAAATA